CTCATGCTCTCTTGCACTTTCTCTCTCTCTCAAATAAATAATATTAAAAAAAAAAAAAAGAAAGTGAAAATACAAGCAAAAACATTATGTTTGAAATAAATCAGGATGGCATTGGATTTTTCCTCAGCAACATCCAGTAACAACAGAAAACGGACTAACACGTAAAATACACTCAAGTAGAGAAAGTGTAAACCAGCTAAGCTGTCCTTCAAGTAGAGAACATGCCAACATGTGACTAAGAGTTCAGGGAATAGTATTCCTGAGAACCTTTGCTGAGAATGATACTAGAGGATCCAACCAGGCAAGCAGGAGCTGACTGACAACACTTCAGCAGAAGAACTGAGGTGAGCATACCATTTATTTCATCGCATAACTCTCATGAAAATTTTCAAGCATACACAAATGTAAAGAGCACGTTTTATAAATCCCACGTACTACCTACCCAGGTTCAATAAGTATCCATCTTTTGCCATTTTTCGTGTCATCTTTCAGCTACCCCCCTTTTTTGTGCTGAAATATTTTATTTTTTTAAGATTTTATTTCTTTATATCAGAGAGAAAGAGAGAGAGAGTGCGCGCACAAGTGAGGGGGAGGGGCCAAGGGAGAAGCAGACTCCTCACTGAGCAGGGAGCCCAACCTGGGGCTTGATCCCAGGACCTGAGGTAAAGGCAGATGCTTAATGGCCTGAGCCACCCAGGCACCTCTGTGCTGAAATATTATAAAGAAAATTCTTTTTCTTTAAGATTTTATCTATTTATTTGAAAGAGAGAGAGAGAGACTGCACACAAGTAGGGGGAGGGGCAGAGGGAGAAGCAGACTCCCACTTTATCGAGGATCCTGATGTGGGACTCTGATCCCAGGACCCTGAGATCATGACCTGAGCTGAAGGCAGATGTTTAACGGACTGAGCCACCCAGGCATCCTTAAAGAAGATTCTAAACAATACGTTAATTTACACAGAAACAATATGCATCTGTAACTGGAAGGGACTTTTTAAAAAATATAAACTGCCATGCCACTATTATACATAATATGGTATATATTTTCTATACATGTGTTTAATTTATAATATTATTATAAATAATACCCTGAAATCATCTAACACCTATTTAATACTCATTCATCTTCCCCTAAATATCACAAAGCTATCCTGTTAGAGCTGGCTATGTGAAACAGTTCAAACACACGGCTCATGTGTTGCTTCTATTGTTATGTCTCTCCCGTCTCTTTTTTTCCCCCTTTTTCATGCCATCGGTCTATAGAAGACTGTGTCATGTGTCACACAGAATGTCCTGTATCATCGATTTACTTGGTCGCTTCCTCATTAACTTGTTCCCTTTGGCCTGTATCTCCTACAAAGCAGTAATTGGGTCTCAATACTCGATTTGATTCAGACCGAATTTTTCAGGACACATTTGACAGGTGATCCTGGGGACTTGCTCTTGCACTGTGCAGCATAGGGAGGCACGGAACCTCTGGCCGTCCCATTTTTAGCGACGCTAAGAAACATGAGTGGCTTCAAGTGGTGTGGTCCGTATCCCACTGTGCTTTCCCCTAGGAGCTGAGAATTCGTTATTTCTTGCGTAGGTCCATTATGTCCGTAGGGGTAGCACAATGGTTATTTTCTAATTCTGAAGAGCACTACAAAGAATCAAATCATGATATGCATAAAGAAATAGCTTTTTCATGTACTTGACTAAGCACGACTTAGAAGATACCATGGGAAGAAGAAACCATGGAGAAGAGCAGAAAAGAAGAATGCCTAGAAATACAGAAAAGTTACAAAACTTGTGTGAGGAAAACTTTAAACTATTTCTGAAGGACAAAGGGTAGCTTTGAATAAATGGAAAAGAAATGGAAGGGCATCCCGTGTTCCCAGACAGGTTGATAACATCATAACCGAGGTGTCTAATTCAGGAGCTCTGGGGGGGGGGGGAACCCAAGGTTCTGAATCTCGTCTAGCCTGCCTTCCCAAGCATGGCCTCTTTGTGCTTTCGAGCAGCCTCAAGGTGTGGTCTCTGGGCCAAGAGCATGAGCATCGCTGAGAACTTGGTTACAAATGCAAATTCTCTTGCCTCACCCCAGACCTACCAAATCAGACACTCTGGTCTCAGCAGTCTCCATGTTAACAAGTCCTCTGGAGGATTCTGACACGAGCTAAAAGTTTGAGAACTACGGCTCTAGCGTTTCTAAAATTTAAGTTGTGTAGGAATCACCTAAGATCCTGTCAGAGTGAAGACTGATTCAACAGGTCTGGGATGGGGTCTGATTCTGCCTGGCTGGCCACCTCCCTCATGGTGCTGATGGTCTGAGACAACACTTGGAGGAGCGAGACTAGAGGAACAATCTGTTTCTAGTTCACTCGAGGCCAACTCATCCTGTCCCCTCCGCTCCTGTTTTGTTCTAGGTATTAACGACAAATCATATGTTACTTCTCTCAGTGGTATGTTTATTTTAAACAGAATTTAACCCACAGAAGTGTGTTCCTCTCACAACAAATTCAGCCAGAAGTAATTGAAAATTAATCTCAGGCTTTGGTGGAACGGTTTTGGAGAGACACCTATCCGGCATCTTTTAAATTGTGCCATTGAGAATATACTGTTAAATGGAATCTAGATGAACAAATTAGGGAAAAGCTTATGCATGAAGAGAATCTTTGTATAAATCTATGTCTAAATTTGATTCACCTCCACTTTCTCTCCCTTAATAAATTCTGATTTTCCGGAATTAGGTTTAGGCTATCTATTGATTCCTGGTGTCCCCAAATCATCCAGACAAAGGCAGTGCCCTGCAATGTCTGCGGCCTCCGAAGGGGCAGCTCAAAAGTCTGGATGGTTGGAAGGGCTCCACTAGGAACAAAGACCTGTGATCTTTGTTCTGTCTATTGGTTCTGTTCTCTAGTTCTTCTCTATGTCATGTCTACTGAGACCAGCTGGGATGACTTCTTCACTGATGCATCTGGCATCTAAGCTAGAATGACTGGGACAGCTGGGCTGACCAGGCTCCTCTCTCTCTCTGTCTCTCTTTCCTGGTTAGCTTGGCCTTCTTCAGAACTTGGAGCTTTCAGGGTAATAGGACTTCTTGGATGGCAGCTGGCTTCTGCCAGGCCGAGCATTGCCAGAGACAAGGCACAAGCTGCAACACTTGCACAGTCTGGCTTCACTCTGCCAGAGGCTATTGGTTGAGAAAGGCCAGATTCAAGGGGCAAAGGATAAGACTCCATCTTTCCATTGGATCCGATGAGCTGCATTACCATGGTTAGGTTTTATTAAAGTGAAACCCAGATGCACCAAAGATGCAGTGAAGTTGGTTGGTTAGAATCAATGTAAATGAGAAAAAAAAAAAAAAAGCTAGCTTTATGAGCTTCTTTGAAAGGCTCAAGGGAGCCTGTGGTTGGCATCTCTTCCTCACTCTGCCTTCAGTGATCTCACCGGGGTAACTTGAATCTGTGCCATAGAAATTGGCAAACAGTTCAAACTGGGATTTTTTAAAGAGCCAGTTGTTAAATATTAATCACACACCATGTTTAAAATCCAATTAATATACCAAATAGATTGCAAATAGATTGCCACTTTCCATCCTCCACCTTCCACTGTCCCACCTAAACACACACACACACACACACACACACCTGAGCCTGCTCTAAGTTCCCAAGGATGTATTCTGGGTCTTAATACGTTTACAGTCCTTTCTTCAACTGGGGATGAGGTCCATGGTCATAAAGGTTCGTTCCCTGGATTCACCAGCTAGGGGGCCAGGACTCTCTGTGATATAAGGTGTGAGCCATAGCGTAAGATATAGTGTCTCTTCCTTACACATTAGTTCTGCTAAGAGATATGGGGGAACTTAAATATAAACATATACATATGTATAGTATATACATATATTAAATACATATATATGTATAGATTTAAACTAATGTATATGTTAGTAAATATGTGTAGATTTAAGCTATACATATATGTATATATACATATAACCTTGGACCCCCCATACATATATGTATATGTCCATACATATGTGTATATATCTATATTTAAACTAACATGGGTATATTACATAACAGAATACACAAAATTTGCATTATTTCTGATAAACATAAAACTGCAGAATAGTTCTACACTAGCATTACCTTGACAGTTTCCCCAAACATCTGGTCAGGGCCGACTTACCCATTCGTCATAGTAGGTACTATGCCTAGGGCCCGTGATACTTTTAGGGGCTCATGAAAGTGTTTTTAATTTCTTTTAAAATCAGAAGAAAATAAATGAACTTTTGGGTTGAAAAATGTTTTAGTATATACTATTAATATACTTGTCTTTATATTAACACATTCATAAATATGTGTGCGTGTTTTAATGTAGAAAGGGGTCCATGAAGGCACAAGTGCCTAGGGCCCCCAAAGCCATAATACGGCCCTGCCTGTAGGGACATACTTTCAGTGCACAGTGGAATCATGTGAAAAGCTCTGAATTTTAGGCATCATATACTTTCAATGTGTTATTCTTGAGAACTGCTGACTTCAGATTCCAAGGAAATGAATTCCAAATGGTAGAATTTCATATGTCCTTGAAAGGCAGTAGAATAGATTTGCAGGACAAGGATTTCCTCTGACTACACCGCAGATCCCACTGTCTACGGCCGTCTGTGAAGAGTCTTGTACTTAGTCCCAAGTTACAACACTTTTGCCCCCAGATGCCACAACCAATATTTACATAAAGTGGCCGAACTTCTGGCATGAGTCCCACTGTCAAACCATAAAATCTTAGAACTTGAAGCCACTGGGGATGCCTGGGTGGCTCAGTCCATGAAGCATCTGCCTTTGGCTCAGGTCATGATCCTGGCATCCTGGGATCAAGCCCCGAGTCATCATTGGGCCCGCTCAATGAAGAGTCTACTTCTCCCTCTCCCCCTCTGCCCCTCCCCCCCACTGCATGCATGCTCTATCTTTATCAAATGAATAAACAAAATTTATTTAAAAAAAAAAAACAACAACAACAGAAGAACCTGAAGCCACTGAACCCCAAGCCACATCAGTGGAAGAGCACCTTCCTCACCATCCTTGACCACACACTCTGCATCCGTTTCAGCACATCCAGACACTGCCTGCCCTTGGGAACTGCAAATCTCTTCCTTTCGGGCTCTTGTCCTCAAGGAAATACCATGAGAAAACACAGAGACACAGTGGTCGCTAGTGATGCAGCAAAAATGTCAGAATGAGTGTACCGCTGAACGCCACAAGTCCACGGCCGTGGATGCGCTACACGCTGTGGGCAGTACCCACAAGCACCATTGTGGTCTCATCGTCCTCAGGGCCGAGGTCCAGGCCGTCCTCCACCACCCTATGCAGGGTGCTGTAATGCTGCTGGCTTTGGTGGAAAGAATGGAGCTTGGAAGCCGCCTCCCAGGCTGCAAAGGTTGGCATGGGTAAGACATCTGGCCTCTTTTTTTCAAAAAAGCATTTCACGTTTCTCTCACTCAGCTTGTTGGCATACTCCAGGAATGTATTTTCCAACTGCTCCTTCTCCTTTTGTGTATACGTCTTCCAAAAACTCAGCTGAAGGTAGCTAACTTTAGATCGGCAGCGAGCACAACAAGTGGTGAGCAGAGAGAAGAAAGATGCCGAACAAATGATGAACCAACCTAGAATCTAAGAAAGAAAGATATTGAGGACGTGCAAAAGCACAGCCACTTCTCAGGGAGCACAGATGGTGTTACTGGTCAGCGTACGACCCAGTTAATACCACAGTCATTGCCGCTATCTCAGTGGAAATCCTTCATATTCATTTTTTAATCATTCTTGTTTAATGATCAAAGGGAAGTGCAGGTTTACCTAATCCCTATCATTCATCCCACCCACCACTGCTGGTATGCAAAGAAATAACCAGAGGCAGACAAATGGAAAAGAGCAAAAATATAAATTATCCAAGAATCAGCTACACCACCCCCTGAAAGAGTATTAATTGTTAAAGGAAAGAATTCCATGCATGAGTGAATATGATCATTGGAGGAAATGAGCGTTTCCTCAGCCCAGAGCTGTCAGCATTGGTAAGTACATGTTCATGGCTAGTGACCGATTTTTCCATGTTGTTTGCAGAGAAAAACAGATCCTCTCTGAGAGAAATCCCATGAGTGACCATCCATGATAAAGTGAGAGAGACATAATACAATGGGGAAACTGAAGCTAGAAGAATTGAAAGGCCTCAAAAAATCCAAGGGGAAAAAAAAATTAGAGTCATTCTAAACCTTCAGGATAGTTGGTTCTGAATTTTGGTAATTGGGAAAAAAAAAAATTCCTTTCTGAGTACAAACTAGTTCAACCTGCCTTTTTTTTTTTTTCCTGAATTTTAAGAGCAGAACTCTAAATAGCTCAACTGACCTTCTAAACTTTCTTGTTGTTCTTAATTATATTTGTCAAAATTGGAATTAATCTCCTATTTGGACAACTAACAGAGCCCTTTCACAGTCTCTCTTGACATTTTCATTAAGTGACTCTTGGTATTTCTCAGCAAATGGGCCTATTTGAAAATAGAAGCAATAATCTGCAAGTGAACCCATTCAGACCATAACAGAACTACCAACAAGCCCTGATGCTTTAAATCCGGAGTTCCCACACGCTGGCTCACACTGTGGCACCATTGTGAAGGCCCAGACTCCCACGAACGCCAACTCTGGAACGGGCACTAGGTAGGTTTAAATCTCAACCTTCCCCTCCCTACAGGTGTTCTCATTTCCTATGGGTGCCTCATTTCCTCAATTGTAGAATGGCAGTTCCCCACCTCAGAGGGGAGTTTGGGGGATTAAAATAAGACAATGAAGACACACATATGCATTCAGGAAGCATTAGCTGGTATCACGTGCTGCTATTTTTCAAACATACTGACATTTACCTAAAAGCGTTTCTGAACTCATGGTTCTCTGTGGCATGATTTATGAATGAGGCACCGCTCCTATCATGTGAAAGTCCCATAGTTACCTTGAATCACTTGTGATCTTCCCCGTCTCTTCTCTTCTACCTTCCACTTTCCACACAGCCGGGCCTCCTATGGGCCAGCAGGCCATCTCACCACAGTATCCGAGCCAGTTCTGCTCGAGTTATACTATTTGATCGACCACAGATCTTGGTCTGATCTCAGCGTCACCGTGCTCTCACCTGAGGGCTGAGCCCTGAGCCCTCTTGTTCGTCGCCAGTTCAAGTATGGAGACTCTGGCCAGACGTGGTGGACGCTCCTGCCCCAGCCCTCTGCATGTTCCATTCTGCATGACTCCCCTCTCTCAAACCCTGGCAGTTTGCTCATTCATTTAGAACTCGGACTGTGTGCCAGCAGCTTTATGCCCATGTATGTCCGTCATCTCCACACCTTCCAGCAACCTCCCAAGGTAGGTGTTATTCGTCCCAACTGTGAGGAAACAGGGGCTCAGAGGGGTCAAACCATGAGCTTGGGGTCGCAGAGTGGTAAGTGGTGAACTCAGGATTCAAACCCCAAGCTGGCCAACTCGAAGACCAACCTCTGGCCACTACCCATTCATCATAGTAGGTACTATGAAGTACTTACATCCTCTCAACTTGCTTAAAATAGAGAGCTGCCCGGCTGGATTTCTTGTTTCTTTGCCCCAACCACGGATGGGGCCCTTTTTCCACCCCCACCCACACACCCAACTATTGATCTGGACTGTTTGTCACTCCTTCCTGGCTGAACCACTGCGGTCAGCACCTGCTGTTAGCACCGCTCCCCTTGTCCACATCCCACACACATCCTACCCTAGAAATCAGCCCCAGGTCCTTCTCGTTCTGCTGAGAAGTAAACAGGTGGTGTGTCCGGACTAAGCGATGACAGGATGTGCCTGATTTCCTTATGCCTGTGTTTAGAGAACAAAAGCTCACACGGTGCTAAGTGTTTGGACCTGGCACTAACTGAACAGAGTCTTGTGCCTGAGGACATAAATCATAAATCACTCATTGTATCATAACATTCAGAATTAATACCTTCCTTCAACAAAAGAAGGAAGACGTTTGGGATCCTGGCATGTTTTTATCTCAGATGTGCTTTACGCATTAAACAAAAGCTTTTGTCTGGGGGCATTTTTAAGCTTATCTGTTCGTGTAAAAAGTACCGTGTGACTCTTCTGCTGACCAGCTTTGGAAAGTACGATTTTAAAACCAGACTGCCCAGATGGCTTGTTGAAAAGGCGAGTCCTTGTTGAAAAAGTAAAAAATTATACTCCTTTCAGTGCACTTTTTTTTCCTGAAACAAATGGCATTCCTGACAAATTGTGGGTCTGTTTATCTACTTTGATTAGCTGTTGTGGTTTGGGGAATGTAACCCCACGATTCACGACTCACGAGGAGGAACTCCTTTTCCTGAGGCCAGCGAAGGCGTCCCATCTGGGTTTGTGCACAGGTACCTGGAAGGATGACAAGCTACTTCCTGGTGTCAGTTAGGTAAAGCTACGGTTTCCCTCTGTTCAATAAAACAGTGTCCCAAATAAAGCATTACTTGAGCTGCTCAAATAATGTAAGAACATTTTCAGCTGTAGCGGGTAAAAAGAGCAGAGGACGGAACCTCCCTGGAGAATACGGTCCCTTTTCACTAACGGCTATTTAAAGACTGCCAACGCCCATGTAACACAGGAAATTTTTCTCAATCTTGACAATATTTATACACAGAGATAACAGTCGCCAGAAATCATTTGAGGGGATCTCTACACTAATTATATTACGTGCCTCTTTGAAAAACATTTGGTTCAGCTCTATTTTAATAGATGAATGCTATCTGCACGTGTTTTTCTGAGAAACCAGTTTGAAAATAAATAATTGAAAGGAGGCAGTGATTTCTAATTACAGCTCTGTCATTAACACTCAATTATGAGTTAGTGTCATGCATTATTTACCAAGTCAACCCAGAGAGATTGTTCTAAAAGCACTTAAGGATTTACATATGCATAACCCAGAAGATATTTTCTTTTTGGAAATAGGAAAGACCATCACATCAGCAATTTTACCAAACCACCAACCCCTAAAAAGCTTTTCCTGAGATTGTCTTCATGCTGCACTGTGTTCCAATTTTCCTTTCGTTTCAAAATGTTCTAGCAGGATTCGGACTCAGCTCTGCCTGAAAGGAGTCCCCGGGAGAAGAGAGAGTCCTTCAAGCTCCTGCTGGGAGAGAAAGGAGAGTCTGTCCTTCCTTACCTGAGACTGGGCTTGAAGGGACAGCTTCACTTCTTCGTTGTCCGCGGGTGTCATGCTGGTTTTGCCACAAGAGACTTTGTAAAGTTCATCCCAGCACTCTTGGGGTTTGTCTTTGCAAATCAGTCCCAGGAGTCTGGAACTTTTGGTCCCGCTCATGGCACATTCATAAAACGTCCCGTTGAGCAGAGCCACAGAAAGCCACATCGTCGGAGCCACCAATGAACTCAGAGCGATCTGGCCGAGGACATAGACAAAGCGGCAACTGTGACCTTTGGCGAAGATTTTCCTGGGATTCACACAGCAGCCTGTGAAGAGCCTCCAAAACTTGCTGTTCAGAAAGAATCCCAGAATCAGCAACACCCAAGCAGGAGCAAACAGGAAAACCAGCCCATAGACCACGTTCTCAGTGCTGCAGGGACACTTAAAAGCCACCAGCGAAAAGAGACGCTCACTCCCCAGGGTCAGCAGAGCCATGAAGCTGTAGCCAATAACAGTTTTCTGGTTGAAGAAGAATTTTAAAATCCCTTGAAAAGCATCCATGCTGAAGGCACACCGAAGGGAAAGGCTTTGCTTATTTATCTGGGGAGCAGCTGTGGCAGTGGCCAGGGGTGGAGCTCTTTCTTCATTAGAAACAAACATTCCTCCTTCTCAGACTGAATTCAGCCAGATAAGGAAACAATGTCATTCCCCAGGAATGACTGTTTCCCAGCTGTGTCCAGATAATGCCTCCTACTGGTGGATTTAGTGCCGTGGAACCTGGGCCAAAACACAGAGACTCGGAGTAGATTCAAAGGGCACTGCTTCCATTTTCTATTATTTTCACGTAGCTTGGATTCTCAATCACAGCAATAATAGTCCAGGAATTTTCCAGCCAGAGGAATCAACATGAGCAGAATGAGGTTTCAGCCAGTTCACTGGGAGCCAAAGCGCGTCTCTAGGCGGGGAGTTTCATGATGGCTTTTCCTTAAGATCTTTGTCCTTAAGATCTGCTGCTTTGCCTTAAGATCTGGAAGATTCATTTTGCATCCTCTTAAACTGACTAGTGTCAGAGATTTGAGTCAAATTTTAGGATCTGGGCTATTTGAAATTTAGATGGAAAAGTTTAGGGAACATTTGAGTTTGAATCAAAGACAAAATGAGAAGGGTCCTCATCGTTTCCTTCCCAGGAGATCGTAGCAACCTCTCGATTAGTATCTCTGCCCTTGACCTCACGTCCACCCCTACCCTCAACCCTAACGATGACTAATATCTTAATTTCTTACCCTCCTGAACAATATTTATTTTTGAAAATGATTTTTTGAGAAATAATGCTTAACTCTGCTTCATAAAGCATATTGTTTCAACAGAAAATGGGTCCCTTAGGATATTCCATAAAAATGAAAGGGTTTAAGACGTGTACAGGTCCCAGGGTCAGTACATTTCAAAGCTGAGTATGAGCCCAGACTTCGCAACTACAAACTCCACATGCTTAACCATCGTGCTGTCCTGCCTGGAACAGAATATTTGGGTGCTCGGCTAATAGATACTTGTTCTAGACCAAGTTTTGTAGAATTTTTTTTTCCTCTTTATTAGGTTGCCTTTAAGATGTACTTGGGGATTACACCAAGTGTGACATGTAACAACTTAAACAGGACTGAATTTTCCCTGATCCTAAAAGAATCCGCTGGTGGAGTCTGTGGAGGAGCTCCCCGCCGGGCGATCCTTTCTGTGCTACTGCCATTTACTCTGTGGGATTATCAGAGGTGCCGTGGAAATGGTAAAGCACGTATTTCATTGGGCCAAGTTTCTTTGTTAGCCAGTGCTGTGTAACAAATGACACCCCCCCCCAAAAAATATACAACTGCTGAAAACAACAAACACTTATTATCTCACACAGTTTCTAAGAAGCTGAAATCTGGGAAGGGTTTTGCTAAGAGCCTGTAGCTCTAGGAGCCTTTCAGAGCTTAATCTCCATGTAGTCCAGCCCTTGGTCAGGGATGCCTTGGTGAAGACTTGATCCAGGCTAAGAGAACCCACCTCCATGCTTACATGGCCTCAGTGCCCGGCTGGCTGTTGGCTAGAGGCCTCATGAAATTCCTTGCCACATACGCCCTCAGATAGATCCAGTCACAACAGGTGCCGTCTTCCCTGGTGCAGTGTGGGAGGTGCTACCTGTGGGTGTGAGTTACAGGAGGCGAGATTGTTGGAGTCTTTTGGGAGGCTGGCTTCCACACCTGGATTATTCATTGGCTTAACAAAGGCAGTGATCAGCATCTGTTCAAAGGCACTGGGCATACAGGATGAGTTAGACGTAGTCACTGCCCTTCAAGAGTTTCTGTCCAGTAGAGAAGTCAGATGTGTAAAGAAGTGTGGATAATGGCTATGTGAGGAGCTGGGTTGGGCTGGGTGGTGGGGCAGGGACGACTTCCTAGAGAAACTCTGGGTTGGCTCATGAAGGATAAAGAGAAGTTAGGGAAAGCAAGGCCTTTGGGTGAGGGGAAAATAATATTCCCAGTAAAAGGAGGAGCGTGTCCAAAAGCGCAAGAAGAAAGTTTCATTCAAGGACGAAGGCACTTGAATGACTCAGTATGGGTGACATAGCAGAGAATCTCCAGTCAGTATGGGTAGATTGAGGGAAATATTGTCATGAAAAAGGAAGTTTCACTTCTTTACAGAGGCCTGATTTTTGAAAAGTGGTAGGGGGCATTCATATGACCCAAGCTTGGAAATTTAGACTTCTGTGATGAATACAGCAGAGACCCATTATAGGTTGATAAACAGGGAGTGATATTTTGAAATTTGTGGTTTAAGAATTTGATTCCTTTGTTGTCAAATTGAAAGCATACAGGAGGGTACGAATCTGGAGGGAAGAAGAGGGCAGTTGGGAAGGTGGGATGGTAACCTCAAGAAAAACAAGATTGAAGTCCTGACAATAGGAGTGGAGGGGAAAAGACAAATTTGAACAACATTAAGAAGGAGATTAGTAATCAGACTGAAGACTAGGTTGTCAGTTAACTGAAAGAGACAAGATTGGGGAAAAGAGTCAGGAATTATTCCAGGTTCTCAGCAAACCAAGGAGAGGTACAGTGGGGGTTAGGAGAGATGACATGAGGAGTTCAGCTTGGGAGTTCTGGAGTTGAGGTGTCTCACACACAGGCAAGTGACGATATCCAATAAGCATTTGTTACACATGTCTGAAAGCCACAGAGAGATGTGGAGCAAAGAGGCATTGGAACTGTCAAAAGATGCATCACAGTGTGTAGAGGAAGAAGGGAAAGGAGTCACAGGTGGAGATCTAGGAAGCAATAACATGGACTAAGTAAGTTGGAGAGAGAATACAAAGGCTGCAAAGGATACCAAGAAGGAAGAATCAGAGGTGGGAAAACACTAGGACGGGACGGAGTTGGAAACAAAGGAGGAGAGGATCTCAAGAGGGAGTGTAAGCAAGAGCCTGTAGCTCTAGGAGCCTTTCAGAGCTTAATCTCCATGTAGTCCAGCCCAAGGTCAGGGATGTCTTGGTGAAGACTTGATCCAGGCTAAGAGAACTCCACCTCCATGCTTACATGAGCTTACAAGAGCAAGGACAGCGGAGACGCGAAGTGAAACAAGACCTGACAAATAGTCAAAACACGTAGGGATGGAAAAGTCAGGAAGGACCTCAGTAAAAGCTGGTTTGGGAAAGTGAAGGAAGAAGAAGGCAATCTGTCAAGACTGTCGAGCCAAGGGCAGTTCAAAAAGAGGTAATAGTCCACAATCTCGTTTTTCTACAAGTTTAGCTATTGAAAGTGGTGGGACCAGAGAGTAGCCAAAGACTAGACACGTGTTGACCTACCCAATAATGAGGCATTCATGTAATTTTCAGTTATTGGTGATAATTAGAGGAAGGATATAATAACAGGGAATCCAAAAGAGTAAAACAATTGAAATAATGTTTTATTCACATGGATCTTCCATGCTTCTCTCTTACCAAATGTTTAGGTTTGCCCTATAATCCAGTAATCAAGAAAGGGGAAGGGAAATATTCTGAGAGTTTATAAGCAAAGGGATGAACCATAAAACAAAGGCAAAAAATAGGATAAAGAATTCTCCAGGTTTCATGGATAGCACTTGATTCTAGCGCCATATGACAAACAGGTATGAGACCTCATGTGGCCTCAAACACACATCGAAATAGCTTCAGTGCAGCCTCCTGGTATATCTTACTGGGCCTTCTGTTAAATTTTGACAAAGACAAAAAAGATCTCATGGGGTGGGGGGAATGAGGATGAATATAGCTTCTATATTTCAAATGCCTACTAGACTCAGGTTTTATCACTTATTATCTTCTTTTACCAACCAGATACTTTTGCTCGGTTATCTTATTTATCCCAATGACTTAAAATAGCTGAATGGACACTCTGCTGAGGGTAGTAGGTCAGCCATATGCTGCTCTTATGTGAATACATTTTAATAAATAGAGAAGTAAGCCCTGTGGGATTACTTCCATGTATGGGAAGTGGGAAATGCTTTACAATGGAAAGAAGGGCTGGCCATCAAATAGTCATCTCTGTAATTTCAATCTTTAATTTTATGTTTGTAATTATTTAGTTGAGGCTTTTTCAGAGCTCTCAAAGCCCTAAGTGATTGCTTGGTGTTGTTAGGACACGTGATTCTGTTATTTAGCTGATGACAGAATGACTGAATGCAAGTCAGTTGCAAAGAAATTGTTTAAGAATCCATTTATCCTTGAAGTTCTGCTTGACAAGGCACATTGGGTCAAGCCTATCTTTGAGTTAGGAATTTGTGTTCTTCTTGAGAAGATGGACCCATAATTCAGCTGTGCTGGAGTGGGCCCGTATCTCTGGGCTGGCCCCAGAATCGTCTGGATTGGGCCTGGCCTGGCCCACCCTTCTCTTTGCAGACTCACTCCACAGAGATGACACACGGCCCGATCATCCCTGGAGGACACGCAGGAAAGGGCCCTTCATCCACACAGCCAGCTCTTTTCTGTCATTCCATAAGGAAAGTCAGCCCCTCACTGGTTGAATAAAGCTGAAAATAGAGAAAAATTTAGAGAGTTTTTTTCTTAAACCTAAATGACACAGGCCTGGGTTTTTTCCCCTTTCTTAGGTTCATTTGGCTGCTGATGTTACATTCTTGCAAGACAGACTGAAAGGCGACCATGTGACAGAAATAGGAGTAACATTTCTGAAAAAGCTAGAGGAGAAAAAATACAGACGGAAAAAATGAAGCATTGTGTGGAAAATGCCTCAGGATGGCCAGCTAAGGAGTTAATATTATCTAAACATACAGAGCCATAGAAATTCCCAGTCGTTTAATAATAACATGGGTTGTAAAAGGCTTATATATCAGCCAGAACTTTGAAGTGCAGGGCACTAGGGTTTAAAGCTGTTTTTTTTTTTAATTTGCTGATAAGGTATACATTTTCAATCTTATGTCCATAAAATTTCATATACAAATAACTCCTTATAAGAGAGATGCATGAATTCACACATCATATAGTCCATCCTCACAGAGTCCCCTGATTTCTTTTACTTATGGTATTAGGAAAAAAAGCATACCAACTACACAGTTGGTGTATTTATCTATTCTCATTGGAAAAAATAGATGAAATGATACAATATAGAGATTACTATAGA